TAATGCAGCCCAGCACTGTGTTGGCTTTTTTGGCAGCTGCAGCACACTGCTGGCTCATATTTAAGTGATTGTCCACTAGGACTTCAAGATCCCTCTCACAGTTACTACTATTGAGCAAGGTACCCCTATACCAGTGGTTCTCAACCTGTGGGTCGGGACCCCATTTGGGGTCGAATGACCATTTCACGGGGGTCGCCAAACAACGCAGTCCGCCATTTTTTCCCCCTTTTCCTTAGTTGTGCTACTCTCTTTTATTCTATTGGCTTTTGAAAGCCAATAGAATAGACTCTCTTGAATAGAGTCTAATTCTATTGGCTTTCAAAAGCCAATAGGAATTGTCCAGGCTGTCTCTGCCCTGCTGAGCCCGCCAAAAGTCCCATTCTGCAAACGGTGCTGCACCAGTTCAGTAGTCTTCAACTTACGACCGGTTGAGTAGTCCTCGACTTACGACCAGTTGGGGGTTGCGGCATTGAAAAGGTTGAGAACCACTGCCCTATACTATACCTGTACATTTGGTTTTTCTTGCCTAAATGTAGAACCTTACTTTTTTTACCATTGAATTTCATTTTGTTAGATAGTGCCCAGTGCTCAAGTCTGTCCAGGTCCTCCTGTATCTTAAGCCTGTCTTCTGGAGTGTTGCCTATTCCTGCCAGCTTGGTGTCATCCGCAAATTTGATGATTTCCTCATCTATCCCCTCATCCAAATCATTGATGAAGATGTTGAAGAGCACTAGGCCTAGAACAGAACCCTGGGGTACCCCACTACACACTTCCCTCCATGTAGATGCAGTTCCATTGAGGACCACACGCTGAGTACGGCCGGTCATCCAGCTACGAATCCATCTGGTGGTGATGCTGTCTAACCCACATTTTTCTATCTTATTGAGTAGTAGGTTGTGATCTACTTTATCAAATGTCTTACTGAAGTCCAAGTAAATTATATCCACAGCACTCCTCTGATCCACTAATTTTGTCGCTTGGTCAAAGATGCAATAAAGTTTGTCTGGCATGATCTGTTTTTGACAAACCCATGTTGGCTTTTAATAGTGATTTTGTTTGCCTCTAGGTGTTCGCTGATTCGTTGTTTGATTATCTTTTCCAGAATCTTCCCAGGTATTGAGGTCAGGCTGATAGGTCTGTAATTTCCTGGATCCATTTTTTCCCCTTTTTTGAAGATGGGAACTACATCAGCTCTTTTCCAGTCCTCTGGTAGTTCCCCAGTGTTCCAAGATCTTTGAAAAATATAGTTCAGTGGTTCTGAGATCACATCTTGAGAACCTTGGGGTGTAATCCATCTGGTCCTGGTGATTTGAACTCATCTAGGCTGGACAGGTGCTCACTTATCAATTTTTTTGCCTATCTTAACTTGTGTTTCTATACTGTTTTCTATGGCATTATTTTTGATAGGTTGGTCTGTTTTTCCCGCTTTGTGTAAAGACAGAGGCAAAAAAACGAGTTAAATAGTTCTGCTTTCTCCCTATTGCTTGTCACCTTCTTGCCACTTTCACCCACTAATGGACCAATCATTTCCTTCACTTTTTTCTTGTTTTTTACATGTTGCCAGATAAATTTTAGTATTGTTGTATTTAGTTCATCAAAAAAGATTTTTCCCAGTCTTATAGGTATCGTTTGAAACAAAAAGATAATTTTTGATAAGATATTCATTTTCACTGTTGCTATTCTCCCCAGCATTGAACATTGTGTTTCTACTTTTTCAGATCCAATTTTATTTGTTTTAACAATCTTACATAGTTGTCTTCTTTTATTGTTGTACATCTTGCTGTTAAATAAATCCCCAAATATTTAACTTTTTTGACTATTTGAAGGGGTTTTTTTGCTAGTTGATTTTTTTGTTTTTCTGTTAAGTTTTTAGTTAGCACTTTAGTCTTTTTTCTGTTCATTTTCAACCCTTCCACTTCTCCAAATTCTTCTATTTTCTCTATAAACTTAATGCTTGTTTCAAACGGTTCTTCTAATATGAAAACCAATTCATATGCAAATGCTTGTAGTTTGTATTTTTCATCTTTTATCTCCAGTATTTTAAGTTCTATATCTATTTCTATTCAATAGTTCCAGTGTTAATATAAATAATAGTGGAGATAGTGGACATCCCTGTCTTATGCCTTTTTTAATGTCAAAGTTTTCTGTAAAATCTTCATTTACAATTATTTTAGCTGTTTGTTTATGATAAATTGTTTTAATTACTTTGTAAAATTTTCTCAAAAATCCATTTCCTCTAGTTGCTGGAACATAAATTGCCAGTTTACGTTGTCGAATGCTTTCTGTGCATCTATTAAAGCCATCTGTTCTCCTGGATGAATTTCATAATACTCTAAAACATCTAGAATCATTCTTAAATTATTTTTTATTTGTCTTTTAGGTAAAAAACCATTTTGGTCTGTATGTATAAATTTAGGTAAAATTTTTTTTAGTTTTTCTGCTATTATTGAAGCGAAAATTTTGTAGTCTATATTTAATAATAATATTGGTCGGTAATTTTTTATTTGCATCAAGTCAGAATTTTCTTTAGGTATTAAGGTAATATTAGCTTCAGTCCATGTATTTGGTATTTTAGCCTCCAAAAGTATTTTATTACATAGTTCTTTCAGTATTGGGCTTAGTATATCTTGTAATGATTTGTAGAAGCTCTGCAGGTAATCCATCTGGGCCTGGGGTCTTTTCTAGTATTTCCTTGATCTTCCTTGTTTCTGACATTTCTTGATTACATATTCTTTGGTCTTGTTCTTCAGCTTATTTTCTTTCATCTGTTCTAGTTTGCTTGAGTCTGATCTCAATTTGCTGATCTTATTTTCCAGTCTAATCTTCTATTTTCGTGGTGCGTTGTTTGTTTTTTTCTTTGTTGATTTTGAATCCCAGGTATTCAGTTATAACTGCAGGTGTGCTGTACATAAGTTGGTTTGTTTCTTGCAGTGGGTTAGTGCTTATACTTATTATTGCGATGTTTGCATCTTTTAATGCTTGGGCTAGATGTTTCTTTGGAATAAGCTTCAATGCAGGCAGCATTATTCTGATATTTTTGTGCTATTTTAGGTGCTCAGTTATTCTTTTTTCAGTTCTTTTACTTCTTTAGTTAGAGGGCTTTATTCTTCCTGAGGCAGAAGAGAGGGTGCCTTGTTTCCAAATGAAAACACTTTTATATCTCTGCTGGAATCCTCTTCTCCCCCTGGATTGCCTCTACATTCTGAGTTGCTTCTGGCAAGGTTTTGATTTCTTTGCCCTGGATAAACCTTTGCAGTTCTTCCAATTCTGCTTCTGTGAATACTTTATTTTATATTATAAATTGATGTTGATCTGCTAGCTCTGTTCTGTTATTTCTGATTTTCGATGTTGTTCTTTCCAGAACTGGTGTATTCATTTCAGATATCCTCTTCTTGTTGGACTTGATCTATAATAACAGATCATTATTTCTTTGTTTTCAATCACTGTATATTTGTGACAGGTAAACACCTTTTGTTTCAAAACAATTGGAGCATCACTTGAACACCATTAGCACTGACAAATTCACCATCAGTCAATTGCAAAAGGTGGCTTTACTGGAAACAGCTTCCATCCTGCGACGATATTTGTAACACGATCAAACATCCAGATCTGCCTATCCCAGATCCTTGTTAAGGACTCAATAGGTAGTCAAAAATATCAAACCCAGTCTGAACATCTGGCTAACTGTGCAATTAATAACAACAACAACAACAATCCCCAGCTTCCTTTTGACAATGCTTCAGAAATCTGTCTAACCTTGTTTAATTAAAATATACATTTCATGATTCATACCAATTTTCATTTTTCAACACAGCTTCAATAGAATTAAAGTACACTTTATTTTGTTTGATCCAACCCAATGAAAAGATAGTAATGGTGATGGACAATATGGTACACACACACACACACACACACACACACACACACACACATGTTTTTTTTTAAGATTTCTTCCATATTTGGGCCGACAGGGTGAATCAAAAAACACTCAACGTATGTATATTATATATATATATAATATACATACACACACATATATATTATATATCTAAAATAGTATTAAAATATGAGTCTTGGGTATATTCATATTCAAAATCAAAAGACACAGATCACCAAGACTAAAAATTTATTTAAAACTTAGTTTTCGCCAGTGTCTGCCAGATGAGATGTATATATGTTATCTGTTGGGTGAGGTATCCGGTCTACCAAATATAAATTAGTCTGTTTTGCATTTCGCTCCAATCTAGGAGCATGTTTTGCAGGCAGACCTCACATACTGTGAACACTATAAATTCAAAATTTTGTGGCTGACAAAGAGTTAGTGGGAGACTAGTATAGCTATTTCAGGCTCATTTGCCCTCATCAGCTAGTCATACCCTTCAGGGATTCGAACCTGGGCAGCTTGCATGTTAGGCAGCTGTATTACCCCTTTGAGCCATAGGTTCCCTCTTACTCCTGTCAGCAGAAACCAGGGAGGATATATATCTTATCTGTTGGGTGAGGCACCCGGTCTACCAAATATATATCCTCCCTGGTTTCTGCTGACATGAGTAACGGGGAACCTGTGGCTCAAAAGGGTAATACAGCTGCCTAACATGCAAGCTGCCCAGGTTCGAATCCCTGAAGGATGTGACTAGCTGATGAGGGTAAATGAGCCTGAACTAACATTTTGACTGTTTGATTTTAACTCCCAAGTTGAGTTTCTTGGAACTGAAAAATGGAAATATTTACAAATGACTGGAAGGACCTTTATGGAACTAAATGACCATTGGATCACATTTTGTTTAACGATTTCCAAATTGTATTGGTTTGTACTAATCACGAGCAATTAATTTCTCTTTATTTTTGATAAAAGATAAAGTATAACTTTTAAGCAGGATTATGCTTTAAGAGCCTTTTCTTGTTGGAAATTAAATTATTTCCCCACCTATATAAGCTGCTGCCTTTGACTCATTTCACGTCCTTTCCCCCAAGGGCTCTATGAGAGAAAAATCACTTACTTGGAAGAAATCACTTTCAAACATGGGGGAATTTTGAAAAATCGCATATTCCCCCTGCCGTAATAGGCATTCGAGTGACTCCATTCTCCTGTAGAAAAGGATCCTTGTGCAGGTTGTTTCAGGCCCAACACCTCAAAACTGTTACAG